TGACCATGAAGTCAAAGGCTTCTGCCAGTGATGGGAATGTCAGCTGGATCCAGAAAGCTGTAACACTCTCTAGGTTTTCCATTTTGTCCCCAGTAGGTATCTGAAAGGTCAGGCCTTGTGCAATTTCTCTCTTTTTCACAAAGCTGTGAATGCTCTGGATGCTATTTAGCACAGTGAAGCTGAACAGATTGTTTTGGGGGCTTTGGGGGCCTTTCTTCCTGCAGGGAGGCAAATGTTGCCTAGTGATCTGCGTCTGAGCATAGGAGTCAGGAACTCTAAGTTCTAATCACAACTCTGTTTAATGTTTCGTTCCACTATCCTTGGCAAGTCACTTAACCCTTCTGTATCTCCACTCCCTTCCCCAACAAACGGGGATAAAAATAATGACTTATCACCCAGGGATATGGCAGACTGAAAGAGTAAGGACTGTGATCCACAGATAAATGTCGAGTGTAAAATACCAGTATAAATCTGCCTTTAAATGAACCCATGTTTTCAGACTGTGGAAAGCCACACTATTTAAATGCAGGCTGCCTCCCCAATGCCCCTTCTGCCTGCAGTGGAAGTAAAATAAGCTGACTCTGTGAAGCTCTGTTCAAGTACTTCCCTCTCCAGCAACTACATGCTTCTCTCTAAACATTCTGCTCATTCTTCAGTTAATGGCTTAGAAACCATTAAGGTTTCCATTTTTACTTGGTTAAAAGCAATACATGTGTTATAGGTAAGTAAGAAAGAGACAAAGAGAAGAGAAATTACCCGCTGCTCCCTTTCATATCAACAACTTGAATAAAACTAAGGTGAATGGCTAACTCTACCAAAGGTGATAGGGTCAGCTTAACAGAAACATGACAACAAACATCTTACCAGGTTCTATCATTATTTATTATTATTATTATTTTGAGGACCAAACACAATATTGTGCTGCTTTAAGAAAATGTTGATTTCTTATTAATGGAAATTCTATGTATCCATTCAGTCATTTATTTATTCATTCAAACGTTTTCTGAGCCTCTATTAAAAGCCAAGCAGTCTGCTGGGGCTAAAACAATGATTAAAACACAGGTCCAGCCCGCCAGGAAATTTTTTGAGAGGAAAGATATTTAAACAAATCATTGTATAAACATATGCAAACATAGCAAAACAATGTAATATACTAAAATAGAGGCACAAAGTGCTATAGAAACACACAGGAAATAAAACATAGTGAACAAAATGGCCTTCAGCCTCAAGAAGTTCAAAGAAAAGATTGCTAAAGTTCCTAGTCGGAATGCGGTAAGACCAGTAAATAAAAATATTAAACCAGATACTAAGATGTTCTGTGAGAACAGAATTCATCAGGAGGCTATGGAACATAAAATTAAGAGAGGGGTTAACATGAGGTCATGGATGGGCTTCAGAAGGTCCACAAACTCCCTCAAATTATATGTAAAAATGTGTGTATGTGCAAATGGACATTTTTCCAGACGGAGACCATAGTTTTCACAACATTCTCAAAGGTAAACAACTATTTCACTTGGACCTTATCCTAATATCCTAATACTCAGTTTTCCCATACCTATCAGTGGAGAGCTTTAAGACCTCACGTTTTACTCAAACCAGGAGATCTGGGTAGCCTATAAGTCAGGGAAGAGCTTCTGAACTTTCCATAATGTGGTAGAAAATAGTGATTGCTGGAAAAGAGGCCAATGCAGACAGGTAGGACTTCATTTCCGTACTCTAGTTGAATTTAGCTTAAATAAATTTCCCCATGTACTCAGATACCATGATGATAAGCATCATATAAATAGATAGTGGCAGCAGGAAGTAAGTCAGGGCTTGAATCTGTAAAACCAACAGTAAGGAAAGCATATCAGACAAGGTTGAACTCCCAACTAATACAGCTTGTTCCTCTTTATTCATAAGACCAAACCTGGGAATTCCACATGAGAATTTTAGGGAACTTCTGGCTGCCTCCCGAAATAGAGAGCTGCAGCAGTCGAACAGCATACGACTAAAAATTAGCACTCAAAGTGCAGTAATACTAAACGCCCACATTCCAAATGACAAATGGCATTTGAACCCTAGTGGACTGCTTCCTAGACACCCAATGGCTTCTGCCTGTGTGTCCGATCTAACAACATATGCCTTAATAATCCTATTTATAAATAAAATTCAATTTTCATTTACAGCTTGTAGCACACGCATGGACAAGCATAGATACGCGTAAGTATACTTGTCATGATGAGTTTCACACACCTCCCTCAAATCTGTAGGTCTAGAAGCCAAAGAAAGAGTGAAAGCATGGGAATACCAACATATGAGGGGTAATGCCAGCCAAGGAGTGGGTAGATCCACCACAGCCACACTTATATTCACTGCTTGCAATATTATACATTATTACGGGTTCCGACTGCATTGGATGTAGTGCTGTATTTTGCAGCTTTCCTTAACACCTGCTGTTCAGCATCTCACTGTACACTCCACGTACGAACAATGGAGCCAGGGTTCTAGGAAGGCTCACCCAGTCTATATGTAAAAAGGAGACAACTTCACTTGACAGGGAACTCTAGTAGAAATGCCTACGCCTTAGAAACAAGCAATGGTCTAAGCCTCACAATACTCAACATACCCTTCTCCTTGACCCATAAAGGGTCTCAGAAAGCCAACCAATCAGTTCTGAGATAGCACATAATTACCGAGATGAACAGGAAAGAAGGTACTTGAAGACAAAGTCAGCTGACCAACATAAAATAAAGAATGGTCTCCCTCTTTAAAATTTTCTAGCCAGAATGAGGAAATGCCAAGTGCCAAAAATGATAAATATAAAAGATATGTTTAAATCTTTTTAAAAGATAATTGCCTGCTTAAGCAAAAAACACTGACAATGTACTCTGGGGTTTATAACATATGTAAAAGCAAAATATATGATGACAATAGCACATAGGACAGGAAGAGCATGTCATAATCAGGCAGGGGATACAAGGTAAAGGTAGCAGAGTAATGCGAAGTCCAGGGAGACAGACCAAGGCAAACGGTAGAAGGCAATGGAATAGGACAATAAGGAAGAGGACAACAGCTATGAGGATGGGAGAAAAGCCAGAGAGATCACAGGGGCCAGAAGTAAAATGGTTAGGGCAGAAAGGAAAGAAAAAAGACAAATTTTTAAAAATAAAGAGAAAATAAAACCAGAAGGGAATTGGAAGCAGGCAGAATAACTATGACTGTAAAATCAGTGAAAGCCAAAACCTGTGTAAGGTAGATTACCTGTCAGAGAAGGAAAAGTCAAATATTTTCCACTAAAACAAGCAACAGAAAAGTGGTGAAACTGCACCCTGGCAAAGGTATAAAACTTTTGAGACCTGGAAAAACAAGGCCATCCTGTCAAGTTCTGGCTCTCACAGGTTTCACTGTACTACCAATTGCTTAGTAACTGCTGCAAAGGGTAACTTTATCCCAGCTATCGACACAAACCATTTGTGCTTGTTTTAATCCTAAATTATGCCATAATCCAAAAACATGCATCATTTTTTAGTCTTTTTTTTTTTTTTTTAATTCGAGGTTTTTAAAGTTTGACAACCACATAAGTATCCACTGGCAACAGTAGTCCTTTATATTAAAAAGAATTGCTGCTACCTAAAAACTTCTAAGGAGCCCTGGTGGCACAGTGGTTAAGCACTCGGCAACTAACTGAAAGGTCAGCAGTTCGAACCCACCAGCCCCTCCACAGGAGAAAGATGTGGCAGTCTGCTTCCATAAAGATTACAGCCTTGGAAACCCTGTGGGGCCGTTCTACTGTCCTATAGGGTTGCTATGAGTCGGAACTGACAACAACGAGTCTGGTTTTTTTGGTTTCAAAAACTCCTAACTTTAGTCATTTTAATCTCTTTTGATCTCTCGTTAGTTCTTCTGACATCCCTCAATCTCAAACTCTGACACAATCACAAAACATACTCTTCTCTCCTAAAATAGCAAATTACCACTATTGCCACTTAGTGTTATTCTCCCTACTCCCCGTTCACCACCATAGGCAGTAACTGCAAAGAACTTGCTAATCCATTAATTAAAGATCTCTACTTCCCATTATGGAGGACTAAATTTAGAAAGCCAAATTGAGTTAGGAGGAAACCATGGGTCACAACAAGCAAGATGAATTTCATGGAATGCGACTGGGGTGTTGACCTGTTTCTTCTAAAGTCTCTGACACTAACATACCCTCCTCTGCTGAGAATAGAGAAGCCCTCCCATGGGTGTGGCAACCATTCATCACTATAATCTTCCGGAGAAAATTTTATTGTACCATCAGGTCACAAAAGCCACAGGACCCATCAGCAAGTGACTGTCTGTCTCCCCTGCTTTCCTGAAACCTCCAATTTAGTCACACAAAAGAAAGGGGTGGCAAGCCAGCAATAATTATACCCTCAGAGAAGAGCCACTTCCCGCCTGCAGGGGTGGCAGTGACTTTACTGGGCTACCAAATGGATAAGAAGATAAAAGTAAACACTGTAATTTGCTGTTTTTGTCTCTGGCACAGTGGGAGTGGTACAATCGACACTGTAAACAGTAACAATGCCAGACGTAACACAAAGAACAGGATTCCCCCCATATCCCCACCCCCACCTCCGCCCCCTCTCCCTATGACATTCCTCCTGAGATTACTCATCTTGAGGCAACACAAAGAAACTCCCTATAGTCCATATGCTGCTACCAAATGGAACAGAGGGAGAATCCAGGTTTGTACTGACTCCTATCTCACTCTCCCTCATGGCAACTCAAGAAGAATTCAATCATTTCCATCCAGCTGACAAAAAATGGAGGAGAAGGAACAGGAAAGACAGTGTGGAATAGGTATGCGACACACCCAAGTGTGAATCAAAAAAAGGCTGAAATGTCAAAAAAGTATAAATGAAAAAAGAAGTATCCGAAACAAACTAAAAAGATTTTTAAATATTTGTCTTGAACCCGGGCCTAGAGGGTCCATAAGAGGTATAGGAAGAGAGAATGAATTCAGAAGAGAAAGTTACCTGACCAGAGTTCCCGCCAGGTGTAATGCAGGCGTACTCTACACTTCTTCTGGTAGCAAAGCAGTTTATGTACTACCTGAATGCAGCGTCTACAAAAGAGAAAGAGGAAAACTGGGGTAAGCCTAAGAACATGGTGCAAACTCACCACAGATAGCTCTTTCTTTAGTGAGGCAGCAGCTTTGCTAAGCCACTGAAGACACTGGATATAAATATACACACATGCAAAAAAAAAAGGAGCTTCTACCTGCAGCTGTTTTGATGGATGAATACACACACACCACTTACTCTACCCCTTCCCCTTATCACTGAGAAAAAGGGGCTGGAACCACCTATAGATCAATGGCCAATTAGGCACCATTGATAAAATTCCCTTCAGTATCTTTCCTGGGAGGAATGATGTAGCAGACACGAGACGCAAAAACACAAAATTACAGATCTTAAGCTTCTAGATTTAAATTTGTTTTTTATTTAAATAAAATTTAAATTTAATTTATAGTTAACTTACAGTTTATTTACATTAAAAAATACCTCATAAAAATCAAAAACTTTTGTTCATCTAAAGGCTTTATCAAAAAAGTGAAAAGACAAGCTACCAACTGGGAGAATATCTTTAGAAAGTACATATGCGACAAGAGCCTAATAAGCAAAACATACAGTATAAAACTTCAGCAACTTAACAACAAAAACACACATAACCCAATCATAAAATGGGAAAAGGACTTGAATAGACATTTCACCAAAAAGGACACTCAAATGGCCACCAGACACATGAAAAGATGCTCAGCATCAGCCATCAGAGAGATGCAAATCAAAACCACAATGAGATACCATTTCACTCCCACTAGGATGGCTAAGATTAAAAAAAAAGATTGGCAAGGATGTGGGGAAATTCGAACCCTTACCTACTGCTGGTAGGAATACAAAATGGTACAGCCACTGTGGAAAACAGTGTGGTGGTTCCTCAAAAAACTAAAAATAGAATTACCATATGACCCAGAAATTCCACTCCTAGGTATGAACCCAAAAGACTCGAAAGCAGAGACTCAAAAAGAGACTTGTACACTGATGTTCACTGCAGCACTATTCACAATAGCCAAATGGTGGAAACAACTTAAATGCCCATCAACAGATGAATGGATAAACAAAATGTGGTACATACATACAACGGAATACTACTCAGCCAGTAGGAGAAATGAAGTCTTGATACATGCTACAATATAGATGGAACTTGAAGACATTATACTGAGTGAAATAAGTCAACCACAGAAGAATAAATACTGTATAACCTCACTTACATAAAAAAAAACAAGAAAAGACAAATGTCTAGAGAACAAAGTTTCTTAGTGGTTACCAGGGGTGGGAAGGAGGGAGAATGAGGGGCTTAATGGTCATGGAAAAATCACATCAAGGACAGGGTTGCACAACTGATTATCGTAATTACTGTCAATAAGTTGTACAACTGTAAAAAGTTAAACTGGTAAAAGTTGTGTGATAGATATATTTACAACAATGACCAAAAAAAAAAAAAGAGTAGCTGCTGAGGCTGCTTTTGTATAACCAAAAACCTCATAGGATACAGTTCCTTGGTTTGGAGGTTTAGGGTCATGGTTTCATGGGACATCCCAGTTAACTGTCCTAATAACATGTTTAGGGCTTCTGTTCTACCTGTTAGTTTGTCGTATAGTGCCTGAGGTCTTAAAAGCTTACAAGTGGCCATCTAAGTCACAACAATTGGTCTTTATTCACCTGGAGCAACAGAGGAAAAAGGAGAATCAGGAATAGGAGGAGGATATGGAATGTGTAGCTAATTGCCTCCATGAACAACTGCCTCCTTTGCCATAAGACCAGAAGAACCAAATGGTGTCAGTTACCATTACTGAGCATTTTGATCAAAGATTCTATAGAAGAATCCTGATCAAAAGGGGGAAATGCAGAACAGAATTTACAATTCTCATGGACTCCAGACTTACTGGAGCAATGAAGGTTGGATGAACCCCTGAAACTATTGCCCTGAGATAATCTTTAAAGCTTAACCCAAAAATGTGCCCTGACGTCTTCAAAAACCCCCCACCTACGCACTCTAGGGAACAGGGACATATTTTCCTCCCAGACACTCAGGGGCAGCCATTAGCCCCCTGACTTACTCAGCACGTGACCCCCTACTGCAGCCAGATACCTGTGCCTATACCAATCACCCCTGCCTGTCTAGGACTGTAGGTGAGAGCCTGCACCACACACTTGGTGACCAACTACCTGGACACCTAAGCTGAATCTATACAAGAAAAGTAAACAGACTCCTGGGCTCACATACCGAGTAACAGATCTAACCACCTGGTGACAGGATGTTAGAGCTTCAAAGGCGCCAATAATCAAACTAGCTCACGTGAGTAGCCTATTTGGACATATCAAAACAAAACAAAACAAGAAGCTAGGACACAGTAAGCAAACATAAAATAAATAAATATACTAACTTATCGATGGCTTGGAGACAAAAGTCAATATCAAATCACATAAAGAGGCAGACCATGATGGCTTCAGCAAGCTCCCAAAACAAAGAATCAAGAAATTTTCCAGAGGAAGAGAACTTCTTGGAATTACCAGAGGTAGGATATGAAAGATTAATATACAGAACTCTTCAAGAGATGAGGAAGGTGATCAGGCAAAATGCATAACATGCCAAGGAATACACAGACAAAGTAAAACAGGAATTTAAGAGTAGAGAAGAGCATAATGACAAATTTAACAGACTGCAAGAATCCACAGAGCGACAGCAAACAAAAATCCAGAAGATTAATAATAAAATTTCAGAATTATACAACTCAATAGAAAGTCATAGGAGCAGAACTGAGGCAATGGAAGTCAGAATTAGTGAGACTGAAGATAAAGCACTTGACACCAATTTATTTGAGGAAAAAGAAGATAAAAGAATTTTTAAAAAATGAAGAAACCCTAAGAATTATGTGGAACTCTATTAAAAGGAATAACCTACGAGTGATTGGTATACCAGAACGGGGGGGGATAACAGAAAACACAGAGAGAATTGTTGAAAATTTGTTGGCAGAAAACTTCCCCGATATCATGAAAGATGAGAAGATACCTATCCATTTTGCTCACCAAACCCCACATAAGGTAGATCCCAAGAGAAACTCACCAAGCCATATTATAATCAAACCTGCCAAAACCAAAGATAAAGAGAGACTTTTAAGAGCGTCTAGGGATAAATGAAAAGTAATCTACAAAGGAGAGTCAATAAGACTAAGCTAAGACTACTCAACAGAAACTATGCAGGCAAGAAGGCAACTGGATGACATATATAAGCCCTGAAGGAAAAAAACTGCCAGCCAAGAATTACACATCCAGCAAAACTGTCCCTCAAATATGATGGTGAAATTAGGGCATTTCCATATAAACAGAAGTTTAGGGAATTTGCAAAAACCAAACCAAAATTACAAGAAATACTAAAGGGAGTCCTCCGGTTAGAAAATCAGTAACATCCGATAACAAGCCAAGACTAGAACACAGGACAGAGCAACCAGGTATCAACCCACATAGGGAAGTCACAAAAATAAATCAAAGCTAAAACACTGAAAACAGGGAGACAGAGATGTCAATATGTAAAAGATGACAACATTGAAACAAAAAAGAGGGACTAAAAATGTAGTCATAGATTTTTCATATGGAAAGGAAGTCAACGCGATATAAAGTAATAAAAGACTGGTATAAACTTCGAAAAACAGGGTAAATATTAAGGTAACCACAAAGGAAACTAACAATCCTACACATCAAAATAAAAAACAAGAAAAACATAAAGACTCAGCAAATACAAAATCAACAACAATGAAAAAGATGAAAAGAAAATACATAAAGAAAAACGACTCAGCACAGAAAATTTAGTGGGACGAAGAAACTGTCAACAACACCCCAAAAAAAGACATCAAAATGACAGCACTAAACTCATTATCTATCAATAATTATGCTGAATGTAAATGGACTAAATGCACCAATAAAAGAGACAGAGAGTGGTAGAATGGATTAAAAAACACGATTCATCTATATACTGCCTACAAGAGACACACCTTAAGTATGCTGTCACAGTATGGGGGGTACAACTAGGATCACATAGCAGTGTGTGTATAGAGTTTTGTATGAGAGACTAACTTGAATTGTAAACTTTCACTTAAAGCACAACAATTAAAAAAAAAAAAGAGACACACCTTATACTAAAAGACACAAACTAAAACTCAAAGGATGGAAAAAAATGTATCAAGCAAACAACACTCAAAAAAGAGCAGAAGTGGCAATATTAATCTCTGACAAAATAAACTTTAAAGTAAAATCCACCACAAAGGATAAAAAAGGACACTATATAATGATTAAAGGGTAAATACACCAGGAGGACATAACCAGAATAAATACTTACACACCCAACGACAGGGCTCCAAAATACATGAAACAAACTCTCACAGCATTAACAAGATAGACAGACAGCTCCACAATAACAGTAGGAGACTTCAACACACCACTTTCAGTGAAGGACAGAACATCCAGAAAGAAGCTCAATCAAGACAGAATTTCTAAGCCACAATCATCCAACTTGATCTCATAGACATATACCAAACACTCCACCCAACAGCAGCCAAGTATACCTTCTTTTCCAATGCACATGGAACATTTTTCAGAATAGACCACATATTAGACCATAAAGCAAGCGTTAACAAAATCCAAAGCATCGAAATATTACAAAGCATCTTTTCTGAACTGAACGCCATAAAAGTAGAAATCAGTAACAGAAAAAGCAAGGAAAAAAAAATCAAACACATGGAAACTGAACAACATCTTGCCCAAAAACTACTGGGTTATAGAAGAAATTAAAGATGGAATAATAAAATTCACAGAATCAAATGAGAATGAAAACACATCCTAGCAGAACCTTTGGGATACAGCAAAAGCAGTGCTCAGAGGTCAGTTTATTGCAATAAATGCACACATCCAAAAAGAAGAAACGGTCAAAATCAAAACATTAACCCTACAACTCTAACAAGTAGAAAGAGAGTAGCAAAAGAAGCCCTCAGGTGCCAGAAGAAAGGAA